ATAACTAAACTTTAACTTTTAATAAAAAAATTATAGCTAAAAAGATTATTTTTAATATTAAAAAAAAAAAAAAAAGATTACAATATTCAAATTATTATACTTTTAATCAAATCTCTTGACAATACTTTATAAATATAACTTATTAACCAAATCAATAATGTTATATCTTTGGCAAGTTGTTTTATATTAATAAAAATATATATTTTTTATTATTAATTTATAAAATATATAATTTATCTTAGAACAATACAAGTAACTTGTTTTTAATACTGATATAGATTGAATAAAAGTAAATCAGATATCAATTAGCATCTCATAATTCTGATTTGAAATTGATTTAAAACAGATATTTGGCACAATAGGAAACCTTTAAAGTTCAATTAGAAATACAAGTTGGTAGCTATCTACTACTAATAACTATTAGTAGTTATTAGTAGCTACTATGAAATTAATAATATAAAGTAGTAAATAATAAATAAATAATGAGCAGTTTATTAAATCTGGGTTTGTTTTATTTATTTTCTAATTTTGATTTCTTGTTTGAATTAACTAGTTAACTAGGTTTTTTTCTAAATAAGAGTACTTATACAGGTTTTTTTAAATACTATAATTCTTATTTGGGTCTAATTTCTATACTAGTTAAAATAAAATATATTAGACAAGTATTATAATCTAATATAACACTAATTAATAGCTTAAATTATATCATCTCTAGATTAATATCAGAACTGATAAAGCTATTAATAAAATTATAAAGCTATTAGGTTTCTAATATTTAACCAAAGCTTTATTAGCTTTAATATAAACTTGGAAATAATACAATTTAAGCTATTAATTAGTATCATATCAAGACTAAAAAAAGTTATAATATTTGCTCAATAGGCTTTATTTTAACTAGTGCTAGTTGCAGGTATAGGCAGCTAGTATAAAACCTTTGGGCAAACTACTGTACTTAAATTAGAAGATCCTCTATAGTATAGATAGGCAATATAGAAATATTATAAGATTATAATATATAAAAATTCTAGCCCTAACCTTAAACTAACCTTAATTTAAATTATAACCCTCACTATTTATAAATTTATTTAAATTAGTTCAAATAGTTATTTTTATTTATTATAATCTTATAATAATTTTATATTGCCTACCTATACTATAGATCAACTATATATATTATATTAAAATATAGGGGTGTCAATAGGAATGTACTATATTTTTTCTAAATAAATTTTTTAAAACTTTAAGCAAGAATAACTCAACAATAACTTAATCAAATTTAATAAATTTTTTAAACCAATTCTAAAAACTTGTAAAATTTATTTAAAAAAATTTTTATTAAGTTTTGAAGATTCAAAAAAATTTCATTAAAAAAAATATAGTGCGTTTTTACTAACTTTCCCCATATATTACTGTATTAATAAACCAAGCTAAAACTGTTTAAACCAGTTTTTAAAAACCCAAACCTGGTTTGTATAACATAAACTTTCTTCTAAACCAAATTTAACTTGTTTTTTTTTTTAACAAACTTTACGAATCAGTGAACTTGGACCTTATTAAATTTTAATTTAAACCCCATATTTTTCCTATATTTAATTAGTTAAATGAACAGAACAATTACTCGATAATAAATTAAATTATACCTTAAGAATATTATGATTATTCAAATTATGTGTCAAACCCATCTGCTTCAGCCAAAATGCACTTTCTATAAGTGCCCTCTCTAAATACACACTCAGATTCTGGCCCAAATATATCATGGCTTCCATAAATGCTCTTTTCTTATTGTTTTCTAGGTGCACATTGTTAAAGTCCTGTCCCGAGTGCGTGCTCTTAGAGAGGTTTCACTGTATCATGTTACAATACGATAAGGCTAATACTATTTAGCAAATCTAGCAATTAATATATAAATTTATTTATTGTGCATATGATACGTATGATGCTAAAAATAGGTGATTCTTAATTGTCACATTCAATAATTTATGAAGAATCAAATTCTTTTTAATGGACCACTGCGCGTGACAAGCAATCTCATAATAATTTATTTAGCGTTAGCTAATTTTAGTTTTGTAAAAATCATAATCCTACGTATGTAATAAAAATAAAATAAAAAAATACGACTGATTTTAGTTAAATAATGCAGCTGAAATCAGTTACATTTTTTTACCAGAATTGGCTTTTTTCTTTTACTAAAATCATTTTTTACAAAACCAAATCAGACAAACAAATAGAATAAAATTAACCAAGGTACGCTCGTAATGTTTAGCAATATTAAAAAATAATTCACAGGAACTTCTATTTTAAGAATTTTTTAGAATTTTTATATGGTAACGTAATTCTTTGTAACGGTTCTTATTGATAAGATTAGTCTTTCCTTTTTTTAAAAAAATAGTTGATCAAAAATTCACATTTGCAGTATTTAAAGTCGATTAGAGTTTTAAAACATTACAAATATACGAAACGGAGATATTAAATATTGATTCATAAAAGTAATGACAAAAAAAATCAAAATTTTCTTGTTCGCACGCTAATTACATAATGCAAACAGATAAATATACGTATTATATAATATATATACATGCATATATAAAATTTACATAGTTACTGAATAATTGTATTTTAAAACCAAAGCATGATTACGTATACGTACAATATTTTCGCTAAATGTTTACAAAAGGAAAATATGGTATAGCTTTTTTTTGCTTAGTTAAATTTTGTATGCACTTTACATGCTAATTATGTTATAAAGGCTGCCATTATGACCTAATGCTGAAAAGAATAAAGATAAAAATAATAATAAAACATCAACACAAAAGAAATAGAATGGTCAAAGTTTACATCATTCTTATAGTATTTCGGAATTAAAGAATGAATACTGATACTAATTTGACGTTCAATTATCAAACTAGGTCTAAGAGAATGCGCATATTGCCGAAATTTTTTTTGTGAGTAGGTACATATTTTCAAAAGCTTATGCACGGCAGAGAACAGGCGCGCATTGTGCATAGATTCCGAGGTCGTTCACAATGTTTTATGGGAATGATCGAATTTTGATTCTTTCTTTAGCACATGGATTAGAAAACCCGATCTATTCATTATTTAAAAATAGATTTGAATAGTATATATATAATTGAAAATACAATTGATCCTAATTGATGTATACTATGAAACAATAACTAGTTAATGGTATTGAAAGATCATTTTTAGCGTTAACATATGATATATGCTAACATTGCTTGAAGATTTCAAGAGAAGGAAATATAAAAATAAAAGTATGGTTGTAATAAATTTCTTGATACAAGTTCTATGAGAGAATAAATCATGTTAAAAGCGGAGAGCGAAGTCAAGCATTCCTTATTCACCCGATTTGGAAGAATTATTGCTTCTTTGGTTTTGCCATCATTGGTGATTGGCATCCTTTTTAGTCATTTATATTTTTATCTTAAAAAGTGGTTCCGAGAAATTCTGGGGAATAGAGCACTCGTGATGATCATACAGATCATGAATCTTTCTAGGTTTTAAGGTATTTTTTAACCTACTACTTAAGTTCGTGCGACCTATTATAGACATTCATAAAATACGAGTGTGTTGCTTATAATGTAAATATCATTGTTCTTGTGTCTCAACTTTAAAAAAAAAAAACCTTATATCGATATTTACCACATTAACACATATAGGAATTTTTTTTTTCTCAAATATTTATTCCGCTATATATCCATATATGTATGTAATACTTAATAGTTATCTTAGGATTAAGTGATTAATCTACTGCGTCTAGTTCTCTGTACTTACGTACGGGCACCAATGAAACTCTTACCGCATACGTATATATCATTTCAGCCTGATCATGATCGTGACCTTTTCGTTGCGCTATATCAGATCAGATCAGTCGTACACTCATGATTAGGTTTTTGTACAAAGAAACTTATTCCTACAATTTGGAGCGGTAAAGATGTGACAACATGAGAGAGTCACAAAATCTTTGGCGGGCAATCTCAAAATCAGACAAGTCTTGCGAAAGGAACTTCCCAAATCCAGAAAGGACCTCAAGTGAACTTCATATCAATACCGCGTGACTTTGAAAAATAAGATAAAGATAATATGATTGTCATTCAAATTATCGTCATACTGGAAAGTGTTGAAGAAATAGATTTTGGGATCCCTCGCATGATGTATGACTAACTAAAAATACTTTGTATGTGTAGTTTCAAGATTGCATTATGCAAGTAGGCTAGACATCATTGCTAATTATCGTGCATTGATAATCCTTAATTAAAATTTTAACGTTAGTAAGCACTTGGAAAGGTAGATTTTGAAAAATTTCCCATCATTAGTAATGCATTATTCATTGATGAAATATTCCTAAAAAGTTAGCGAACTAGCCTATAAACCAGTTTTACTTGTTAAAGTTTTCTGAGATTTTTATTTTTGATAAAAGATTTTTACATATAACAAATAACGACAATTGATGACATGATAGAAAAGCATTATTTTTTAATACGTGTATTTAAAGCGGTTTTCGGAAAAGAAAATTAAATAATTATACCAAGAAAGAAAAAATATTTGCGCGTCAATCTTAAATATATAATAATGAATTTACAAAGCTGATAATATGTCATATCACATAAATTAAAGTGATAAAACGATGTTATTTCTAAATTGGTAAATTGAAAAAAACCGGAGTTTATTTATGTTATTTATGCACTACTGACAATAAGCGCATATATAGTTTACAGTGAAAATCGGACATTATGCATTCAGTTGAACTATAACACAAGTGATTATTAGTATTTGTATGACCAACCTGTGAAAAAATTACTGTTGATCGATTAATGTGGATATATATAAACCTTTTAGTATCATTCTCCACAATTTTCACAATCTTTTCTTTAAAAAAAAAAAAAAAAAAAAAACAGAGTTCATTCTCGGTATTATTCTTCAAAAATTATAAAGATTTTAAATTATAAATATTTATCTATTATCTATTTGATGCAATTTTCGAAATGACCGAAGAAATAACTTATGATGCCGCCAACGAAATGGCTACAAGCGATGCCGCATCAATTATTACATCGACTTCTTCTGAATATGATCCAGTAAAAGAAATAGCACTTCAACTTGGTGTTGAATACATCGAGTATCCAGATTTTGAAGATGTTGCCACTATCAAAACAGGAAAAAATCTTCTTATAAAACGAGCAATATGGAAAGAACAGTCTCAGAGAGTTGCCTTGAAATATATTTTTGGCGCAGATATGGAAGAACAACACAAGAAATTAGAAAATGAGGTAAGTAAATTAAGAATACTGACGAATTCTAGAATATATATGTAATTCTATATTTAATACTCATGTAACTTTGTTTAGATAATGCGAGCGTTGCAAAACTTGGATGATGACAATTTACTGCAATTATATGGAGTAAGTCAAGGTAATTGGAACTTTCATAACGTTTTCATGGTTTTGGCTTTCTCGTTTCTAACATGGTACACTCATCCATGGTACATGGTAGACTTGGAGTCAACAAATTGTATTCTCGTATTACAATACGCAGACTCGGGTAATTTGCGTGAATTTTTGGATCAAAAAGAATTATCATGGATTGATAAATTGCGTATTTCAAGAGACATAGCATACGGATTACGCCAGTTGCATAAAGCTGGGGTGGTGCATGGAGATTTAGTAAGCTTTCATATTTCCGTCTTTATTGTAAATTTATTGATATTTATTGTAAAACATTTATTGTAAATATTTATCATAATAATTAATATTATTACCAAATTTTATAGCATACACAAAACGTATTTATCGATAATAATAGAGCCTTAATAAGGGCTCCAAGAATGATTTCACCTGATGATACATCATCCACTTACTATAATAAAGCACCGGAAACAATTCCTTACGTGGACCCTAAAATTGTTAATGATGTGACTTCTTTACCAGACCGTTGTTCAGATATATACAGCTTTGGAGTGATTCTATGGGAAATATCAAGTGACCAATTACCATTCAAAGAATGGGAAATATCAAGTAAACAATTGCCATTCAAAGGTCAAAAACGTTTAACCGTTGAGGAAATGATACAAATATCACGTGAACAAACAACACATATTGTTCCCGAAGAATATATTAAATTGTTTCGAGATTGCTGGAATGATGATCTCGAAATGCGACCGACAATTGATCAAGTTTGTAAGCAATTGAAAGATTTACTACGTAATGATATTGGTTCTCAACTGCTCAAAGAACCCCAAATGGATGGTAATTATATTTTTACATGTTTTTTTTGATGTTTTTTGTTAATATATATGTTTATATATCAATTAATTTCAAAATTAAAGATTCAGGAGAAGAAGATTTCACATTTGAAGTATGTATAAAAAAAAATTTTTTTTTTTTTTTTGTTTACGTGTCTCGAAATCATAAGAATTTATTAACCAAATAAATCATCGTCTTTATATTTATAGGAATCAACACCTCTTCAATCGGAAGATATAAAAGAAAACGGGCATACAGACACTCAACCATCACATCCCCCCGTATCCGATGATCTAGATCTTCCGCGAAGGTACACATTTACATAATGTGCACTCACTTAATAAATCAAAACATTTTACTAATATTTTCATATTTTTCATTAACAGGTCTACACAATCGGCTGTCAACCAAAGACAAAAGCGATATTCAAAGGTGTTTCAAACTTTCAAATTCAACTTCCAACAAACAAAAACAAAAGTCTTTGATGCTTTCTCGAAGATGTCATGTTTGAGATCAAAAACAACTGCTGACATATAGATATTTAAAAAACTTTCACGTATATAATTTCATTTTATTGTCATAAAAATTAGAAAAAATTTAGTATTATATTAAAAACATTAATAACGCATGTAAAAACTTTATTTTGGATTACTAAAAGCATTTTGATTCCGAATATTGATGATTGATTATTTCAACAAAATTAACTTGTATACATATAATAATGGTACGATAAAATATGTAGATCGTACAGTATATAAAAATAAAACCACTTTAGTCTAAAAGAGCGCTCACGTTTCAGATAATATATATACTTTTTAAATCTGTCAAATCTAGTATTGTCATACGTATTGATCTATGCGCATTTGTTTTGAATGTTTAACATAAAAAGAGCTAAAAACTTTTTTACTAACAGGTATGGCGGCAAACCTTGATAATAAAGTAGTATGAATAAAGATTGATTTAAACCTAAAAAGTTTTTTTTCAGTGTAACAAAAAAAACTTTATTAAAAACTTTAAAAAAAAAAAAAAAAAAATTTTTTTTTTTGGAGAATTTTACGGTATAAATTTTTTAAATTATATATATAATATACCATGACGACCGACAGCAATTAAATAATTTGAAGACATTCCATATTAAAATGTCCCACACTGTAAATAATAAGACTTTGACGATCAAGCTTATCTTTAAAGGATTAACCAAAGAACAAATATTATTATTTTAAGAATTCCAGAATACCAGTTAGAATGTAGGGGCACTTATATAAAGTGTTATCGGGAAGTAATATTTATATCTTGGGTTATATTATTATTTTTTTTTGAAATTTTTTTTTTTTTGAACAATTCTTTGGTAACAATGATTGTGTATTAAAATATAAATATTTACATTGGTATACTTTTTTACGAAACTTTAATAATTTGTGATATGCATGCTAAAAAAGTGATTATTGAAAAAAATAAACATTGTTCTCCAAACAAAACAAAAATGCAAATTTACCTTATATTACGTACGTACGTACGTACGTCAATACACCTGCTCTATTAGTAATTTTACATACTCTACGTATAGGAGTAAAACATTCTTTTTTACGTATAATTTTTACAATAAAATTTTTTAAATTAATTCTTAAAATGACCCAAAAGTGGTGATGTTAAGGTCGGTTTGAAATTTGAAACTAAGGATGACACTATAAGGATACATATTGTTTTACCACAATTGATTGGTCGATCAACATGAAAACTACTCCGCTTTAACCAACCTCCGAAAGTAAATACAGTATATTGAATGAATGAATAATAATGAATGAACGAATAAATCAATATAAATGAATAAATGAATAGATGGATAAGTGAATCAATGAATGAATGCTTGGAATCGGAATAAAAATTTATTTATATTGATAAGGAATCTACTGTATGATTCACTAGATATTTTGCATTGATAACGAGACTAAACAAACAAAAATATTCAAAGATAAATATATAACTTGTTCGAGTAACTCATTAATTGTTAAAAAATAAACACTGATTTATATTTGGAATAACATTCGGGGAATCTATTAAACAAAAATTAACACGAAAGTGATATATATAAATGCGTTAATACTGCGTCATCTTTTTACATTTTAAGCATTATATTGTGTATAATAATCCTAAAGAAAGGTTTATTGATAGATTTCTCTCGGATAAGATTACACGATCGAATTACAAGAATACAAGAATTATGTGGCGTTTTTTTCTCTCTTCATAGAGAGAACAGCGATGTTGTACACAAAGACTAAAGTGATTTCAAAATGATTTCATAAGCCTTCTCGAAAATTTTATACTGCGTATACATACCTCTTGAATTACCAACTGAATTGACCCATATATGTTAATTAACAGGATTTGTTTATGCGCGATAACTTAGTTATAAATATTGATATTAAATTCAGATCACTAATAACTCATTCCATGAAAAACTTTAAGAGATTCAAATTCTCGATATAGCATTCGCTAATTACAAAAAAAGGTTTATTTTTTTCATGCTATTCGACGATCTGCCTTACCAAACCCACGCTAGAGTAATCTGTCTAAATATTCTCAATAAGGCCATTTGAAGTTAGATAAATGCAAGATGTGTATCAAGTGCATTTTTGATTGGTAAGTACATTCGTACTTACGTAAATTTAAAATACTTTGGTCTTATGATACTAATAAATCTTATCGGGTGTGGTTTTAAACTTTGTTTAGAGGTACGTAAGTAAATTCATATGATGCATTATCAAAACTAAGCGATCTAAAAGAACTACCTTATTAGTAAAGCTTTACGTAAATATGTCGTTCATTATGACTCCCATCTTTTCAAACTTTAATAGATTGCTTTTTCTAATTGGTTAGTTGAGGAAACTATTCTAACCAGCATTTATAGCATATACATAAGAATCAAAAATTTGTAAGCCTAGATTCGAATATTATTCTATTATTTTAACTTGCATGTGCCGGAAACTCCCAAATTTCGAGTCGGATCTCAGCCAGCATTAATCGATATCAATAGACTGTCTGTGCCAAAATTACCATGAAAAAAGTACGCACATACTTTACTGCTATATAGTGGATTGACTCAACGAATGTAATCATATCATTTCTTCATATAGTTTCGTAATATACAGGTACTTTACAGAAACCCATAAATTTGCTTAAATATAATTATAATATAATTGACGTATTTTTATTATATATATAAAATA